TGGCCAGGGACAAACGCGTAGTAGGGACCGGATCCGACGCGACAGCCACTGATGGTTGTTGCTTATTATGAAAGAGTTCTACGAGAGTTCTACACGCTGGTACCAGCTGTGCGGCTGTCATATCGCGGTGTGAGATATTATTAAAGAGTTTAATACCGACCGTGTCCCAAAAATGTCTAGTAAATACAGCTGAACGGTCAGCGTTGGGGAAGTTAAGTAGAGTCCATTCTAAAAGATCTTTTAGCTCTTGTTTCGGTAAATTATTGGACTCAGAGCGTAATAAATGTTTTAGTCGCTTATAGAGGTCTCTGTCGTGAATAGAGTAAGATTGTCCCATGATTAAAACTTGTGCGCACTAACCTCAGTACCGGAGAAAACAGCGTATCCAATCCCAGCTTCTCGTGGGGGCTGGCCAGGCTCCCCTGCTGCGGCTCCAGACGCTGCTTTTCGGGTTCCTTCACCAAGCTCCGCTTCTAGCTGTTGCTTTGCAACACTGCAGCGAGCTCAGAACCCCTTTCCAGCACAGCACCAAGCGGTGCCAGGCACCTCGCTGTGCTCCACTCCCGGGGCTGAGTCTCCCAGAGCTCCAAAAGACACCGATCCTCAGCGTCTCTGGACTCAGGAACTCCCCTTGCAACTTTAAAGAGCTTCGGCCCAATTCGCTGCTAAGCAGCGTGGTCCTTGCTCACGGTACTGGGAAAGCAGGCACGACAGATAAGTGTTAGTTACCGTCCATGAGGGTCTCTTACAGCTGAAGAAAACGATCTGCTCCTGCCTGGCTCGCCAATCTGTAGGAGACGCTTTCTGGGGACGGTCAGAGACACGGCAAAGACCTCTATAATCGAGTTAAGTGTTAGAAGTTTATTTCAGGGCGTGGGGTAGAGAGGTAGAGAGAGAACAAGAGAGGGCAAGAGAGAGGGCAAGAGAGACGGAAAAAAAGAGCAAGCAAGAGAAAAAAGAGAGAGACCGAGCTCTTCTATACCACTACTTATATAACCTATACCTTTGAATATTCTATTCCTTAACTAACCAATCTTTCTAAGTATACTAATATAGTAACATTTGTGTACAACCTATAGAAATCGCTATTTTTGCATATTTTTAGTTATCTCAGGGTCCTTCAGACCTTTCCTTATAAGGCTGGGATGAGGGGTCTCAGCTTGGTTTTACTGCAGGAAAGAATGTGTTCTGGCATACCAGCCCGGTTGGTTTCTTTGAATTATTCAAACCGTGCTATCATTTGTATTTCTTCCTTAGCCTTTCTGGCTACAAAATCATATTTATAATTTCTTTCTAATTCTACCTTCCCAACAGCTGGTAAATGATGGAGAGCGGCTTCACAAGCTCATCTGTCATCTCCCTCATCACCCTGGGATGGATCCCATCCGGTCCCATAGATTTATGAATATCCAAGTGTCTCAGCAGTTCTCTGACTGCCTCCTCCTGGATTCTGCTCCCTGACACCATCTACCAACCCAGCAGGACAGTTGTCCTGAGGACAAGCCATCTTCCCACTAAAGAGTGAGGCAAAGAAGGCATTGAGCACTTCCACCTTCTCCTCATCTGTGGTTACTAAGTTCCCTCTCTCATCCAATGAGGAACAAAGGCTGGTCTTACCCTTCCTTTTACCATTAATATATTTGTAAAAATATTTTTTATTACCCTTTACAAAAGTTGCCAATTTAAGTTCAAATTGAACTTAGGCCTTCCTAATTTTTTCCTACATGCCCTAGTAGCCCCCTTAAATATTTCCTGAGGGACCTGACCCTCCCTCCAAAGATGATACATCCTCTTTTTATTTCTAAGTTCTTCCAAAACCTCGTTGCCCATCCAGGCAGGACACTTGCCTCATTGATTCATCTTTCAGCACACAGGGACAGTCTGTTCGTGTGCCCTCAAGGCCTCTGTTTTGAAGCATGCCCATCCTTCCTGAGCTCCTTTGTTTTTAAGGGCTGCTTCCCAAGTAACTCTCTGAATAAATCTCCTGAACAGGCCAAAGTTTGCCTTCCGGAAGTCCAGTGTAAAAGTCTTATTGGCGTTCCTCTTGATTTCACCAAATATCAAGAATGCTATAATTTCATCATTGCTGTGCCCCAAGCAGCCTCCTTGTGGGATGCAGCTTTGCAGCAGTTGTTTTTCCAAGCATTTAGGTTTCTGCAGGCTTCCAAAGTAGTCTAGTGAAAGGTCATATTTCAGTTGTTACTACCTTGAGCTGGCACACCCTGTGAATTCATGTTGACATCCAGAGTGAAGTCTTTGCACACCTCTCCTGATGGTGGGAAAATCTCAGAGGGGCTCATCCTTGTCTCTGCCATACTCATAAGGTGCTGACTTTAAATCAAATTGGAGGCATGCCAAGGGTATATGTGCCTAACTAGCAGGGATTCACTTTCAAAATAATCAACCTCTTTCTCTATGCCAAAAATAAAACAGTAGGAACAGAAACAGGCAACTATAGCAGTGAAATACTTGTATTACCTGTTAAAGAAATTGTGGGGGGTTGGCATGTTTACATTCTAATAAATTCATTTTTTTAAATTAGTGGTTTTGTAATGTGAAAATCTACAACAGATGTGACATATCATCAAGTTGAAGTAAAAACATTACTTAGGCCCTGAGGCACTCAGTATTTCTCATTTCAGAGGGAAACTAAAGTGAATCTCAAATTACAGGTAAGTTTGGGAAACACTTTGGGAGAATCACGTGTTGCGTAAGTGAGGTTTAAAAGAATGCTTTAGTGTTAGAAAATAGTAGGAGTTGAGATAGCTAAGATAGGCCTTCTCATGCTTTGCAATTGTTTCTCAGCAAACCTGATTATCTGTAGTAGCTTAATTTGGTGAGAAAGAAACATAATTTAGTTTTTCCCCCTTCCATATAGAATACAGGCTTGTGAACCTACTGTATGTTTAGCAAAGGGAAACTAGTGGCTTTTCTATGGATTATTCTTCACATCTTTGACATTGTCTTGCTGATTTTTGTCTATCTTGCTTATGGAAGCTAAAAACTAGGCCCTGCTTCAAATTTTCCATGTGTAGTAGCCAGTTACAGCACACATAATCTTAATAAAGGAGTGTCATAAAATATGTTTAGTCTGGACCTTCATGGGTAGGTGATGGAGAGTCCAAGCTGCAGAGGGCTGCTGCCAACTGGACTATTCAGGCTGTGATTTTTTCAACTACTGTTTTCTATCTATGTACCTACAAAAAAAGAGATGACGAAATTTGTCTGTGTCCTAAGTGCTTTGAGCTTTTAGCAACTATTTATTAATTACATGAAGACTTTCGGGAGATGACTAATTATATTTCTGCATCTTGTAGAATCTGATCTCTTCCTGCTTTAAGCAGCTTCATCTTTCAGTCTTGAGAGCACTGTCCAGTGGAACTGTTGAAATTTAGAACAAATATTTTCACGCTAATGGTTAACACATTAACTTCATGTTAAAAGATTTTCTTCATCTTCCCCACTTCTGCTTAGGCTCACATTGTGTTCCACAACACCTCCTAACATTTAAGATGAACTGTAGATACTGAAGATTACTGAGTTGTTTCCACTTGGATAAATGGGAACGTTGCCATTGGTTCTTCTGGAAATAGGATCAGGACCTGGACAGATGCATGTAATGTCTTGCGAGACAACTAATACTCTTCAGCCTGAACAAATAGGACTCTGAGCACTTTTAAGTTTGTCCTCTAGCTCTCTTGTAACATGCCTGCTACTACTTTTTCAGCTGCTCAGTACACTATAATGATCTTCCCATTCATTTTCTGGAAAGAAAACTACCGGATTGATCAAAAGACTCACAGTCACGGGTGCTAAATTATACCTGAGTAAAAAGAAAAATGCATTAAATCTACAGGAGTATGCAATGAATTCATAATGAGCTGGTGCTGCCACCATAATAAACAAATGCAATTACAGAGGTGACCAGAGCTTTTTTTTTAGGCCTACAGGCACAATAAATGTTGCTGTGATTATAATTCAAGTCCTACTTAAGCTTTGCTTAAATGGTCATCACAGAAGTTAAAAAACCTGAAGTGTAAGATTTTATCAAGGTCTTAGATTCCTGGAGTACAACACATAACTCATGGGTATTAGTGGTTACATGTTAGAACTGTCCCTCTCTCAAATCAGAACTTCCTTTAACCAGAGACAGGATTTTCAAAGGAAACATAGAGCAATGAAGAAAAATGGAGCCAGTATAATTTTGTCCCAGACCTGTTCTTCAATGAAGTCAGAATACACATTTATTTTCTGTTCCATCCTGTTCCTGCCATTTACCTTAATAAAACCAAAATTATGCACTTTCTTTGAAAGCAAGCTCTGAGGGCCTATCCCAAACAGAGCGCCTGCATTTACCTGTACTGAAAAAGCAGAGGAAACGCAACACATCACATCCTATCCAGCCTGTGCTGCCACAGATTGACATGTTTGTCTGCTCCAGCCTGAATGCACCAGATTACTTTAAAGCAGCTTAAACTTGCCTGTTTTGACCCCTGGGAGGCAGGCACTGCAGGGCTAATTCCTGGACCCAATTTCCAGACAAGCTGACAGCATAAGCATTTTCAGTGGTCTGAAGAGAAGCACAAAAGAAAAGCAAAAATAATGTCCACCAAGTAGTGACTTTGCTAAATTACAGCAGGTACGTTGAGCATCTGCTGCAGGCACTGCTGTGACCCTCACTTCCGATGTGCCATAGGAACTTGTTAGCTTTGGAGTATTGATCTAGCAAGGATCAGTGCAAGGGCACTTCAATGAGAAAATGAGTAATTCTTTACCCTGATTATGATGATTAATTCTGTTATGTCAGCAGCCTTTGGCACAGCCAGTGACAGCAGCAAATTTCAGAGGAGAAAAACCTAATTGAAGAGCCAAGAACATTAAAGAGGGGTTTTGTGTGGTTAAGTAATATTAATAAATGACACACAAGCAGTGATAATTTTACATATATGCAGAAACACATGTATTTTCCTCGGTTCTGTAGAGGACTTGGTACTGATAAGTGTTTTGCATTTGAAACACCAACCAAGATTTAAAAACTGACATTGCTGCTGGAATTGACCAGTCACAGATGAACTCAATGTGGAAGTTTTTGGAACATATGAAGCTGAACAGAAATTCTCTCACATGTGCCAATTTCAGAAATTAATCGGAGTTGAATTGGCAGGTGTCCCACTTCCATCACTTCATGTCTGGTTATGCAAAAGACTGATCAAGACATCTCTCAGGTACTTCATTTAAGACAGGCCTTTGCATATGATACTGGATGTTTCAATGTTTGAAGGGGATTTGGCTTTCAGACAGTGCATTCACTTGTTTCATCTCCAGTTCCAAAGGCATACACTCACCAGCTGTGCCCCCTTCTCCTACAGAGCTGCTCCCTCAGCTGCCATTACCAAGTTCTGCTCTTTAGCAGTTTGTTTTTGTCCTAGATGGATCTCTCTGGAGCTCTCATCTTTCACATATTTGGTATGAGATGCATTTAGGAGGGAAGTATCAAGACCAGGTTTTCCAATCCTGTTTTGCTACGAAATGTTCATTTGGCAATCCTAACATCATTAAAAACTACTCTCAATAGGGTATGCTCTACCAACACATGACCTTTAGCTGTTACAAAAAAGTAGAGAAACACCACAAAAGCAGGTAATGATATAATCAGTTCAGGTATTTGACAGATAACAAAAAGGGCTCTCTTGCATTAATTAGAAAGCTGAAGCAACACTTTCGGTGGTTGCCCTTGTACCATGACCTGTGTGCTGTAAAACATTCCCCTACATAGAGAAAATAAATGCCATCACTTAGATCTGTATATGGGCAATTAACATGTTTACTTTCAAACTAGAACCACTGCAAACACTTCTGCAGGTGTCACAGCTCAGAAGTGATCAATTGCCTTGTACAGGCAGGCTTGCACAGAACAGTATTTGAACCCAGCATTTTGAAGCCCCCATGTTTTCTCACCTTCTCAGCTCATATATGGCGTTGCTTCCTATCTAGTATTTTTTTTTCTTATCATATGCAAGGAAAAGAGTTGAAGGCTAGGTACAGATGAAAACAGTCTCCCTTTCATCTAATGGGAAATTGCCTTACAGATTTTTGTGGCAGAGAGGATACTAACATTTTATTTCCATAGAAGTTTTGATTATCTGGAGTGCTCTTATAATGACTATATATAGCCCAAGCAATTAATAGCTAATAAGAAAAACACCGAAAAGATGATATGCAAATACATAGGGAACTACATTGATCTGCCATACTGACATAAACAAGCAAGTAATTTCAGTGTCAATTTACACTTTGTATACAACCTGCTTTCCAACTATTCAAGGGAGATCAATATTTATGACAGTTCATTAGAGAATACAGTTGACTTTTATTGTGCAGACCAAAAAAAATGCAGTCACCAACTCACCACTGCATAAATGTATGAAATCAGTTAACAAAATTATTGTAAAAAATAACTTAATTTCTGATGGGCAAATGGAAGCAAGTTCTATAGCTGTCCCACATTCCTGTGTTGATAGGAGAAAATGGCATTGAACCATTATACTCAAGGACAAAACTATTCTGTTGTTTAGGGGAATAAAATTACCCTGATTTTCTCCCCCATTCCCAAACAAAACATCAGTTCATCTACAGGAAAAATGTCCAACAGACTTACTGCAGAAGTCCCACACTCTTTATTCTCTAACTCTGATGTGTAAGTACCTGATAGAGCTATCCTACTGGCATGTACACAATTCAGTGAAGCATTGCTTGACTCCTTCAAAATGTTTTTAGCTTACCAGCATACTAAGCTTAATCCTCTGATTCCTCATAATGTGCATACCCACTAGCATAGGTCCTTCCTAAATTCAAATTGCTGAATACATCTGTGGCCTCAGAATCTGAATCCTTCCCTCGCTCATCATTGTCATCTTCATCATCATCTTCTGCTTCATACTCATATTCATCCTCACGGTCGCCTGCATCCCCAGTCTTGCTAGAGGAAAGGTTTTTCCAGTAGGCATCATAACCAGAAGCTCCATCTGCATCTTCTCCTCCAGTCTGTCGGCCAAACTTCAAAGAGCGTGCTGCAGGCAAAGAAAAATCATGTTCCCACCAATTCAACATTTCATTTCTATCTTTTTTTCACTGCTTGAGGATTAGTTTAAATGGCAATTATTTTTCATTTCTTTCACAACTAAAATCTCAAACTAAACAAAAACTTTCACTTTCTTAGAATCAATTAATGGTTAAGAATGAGACTGCTCAATTCCAGAGCTCAGAAACACAAAGTTTTTCTCAAAACAAATGAAGCAAAACTGTGTATAACAATTGAACGTGAAAGACTTAATTCAGTGCTCCTAGGCAGAAATTAGTCACTAATGGCACTTGTAAGGCTTGTTAGCTAGAGAAACTGGCTTACTTGACATGCTCAGATCCTTTGTCTGCTGAGTTTCATGGCCACATTTAGGGCAAGGAGGCTTTTTCCCTTTTTCCTGCTTGAAAACTTTACTTCGCACATGATCGTCACAAAAACAAGCCTGTGTGTTGAAGGGAGAATACAAAGGCCAAATAAATGTTTTAATCCTAGAAGCACATTCCTCAGCAAGAAGCAAACAAAAATGTATCTAATAGCAGCAGGGTTTTCTGGCTGGGATTAAAATTTAATGAGGTCTCTCCTGCAGTGGACACGGGGTCTGTGCACAGAGGAACCACTCTGTGTTCAATGTGGTTCCAGGGCTTCTGGGAAAGAGGCTGGATAAAAGTGCCAGTAAACAAGCATTGAAAGTAACATACTCCAGGGCTGGATTGCAGCACTGCGCACAAGGAGCCTGGCAAACTTGGGTTTGTGTTGACAAGCTTAAATAAACATAATGAGACATATCCCAGAACAAAACTATGCAGGGGCCTGAAGGCAAGAATTTGAGATGGGAAATTCACATGCTGAGCACCAAGGTGCAGCTGCATACATGTAAAATACATGTAAAAAGGAACTATTTGGAATAAGCCATCAATGCCATGGGAGAGTGCAGAGAAAACATGGAGGGTAAGAAGGGTAAGAGGAGGCAATGAACCAGCACCTGGAGAAATCCAGGCAATGCTGATGATGAAGCAGGTGGAGCTTTTTATACAAAATTACTTCTGAGTGTTAAAACCATAAAACCAATGTCAACAAATCAGCCTATTCACATGGAAGCCTGAATTAACTGTGGAGAGTATTCCTTTGGATGCAGCAAATTCTGGTCAGATAATCACTTAACTGTTTAAAAGAACAACTTTTCTAATTGTTGCAGTTTCACACTGGATCAAAGCATATTCCAAAGCTTTGGATTCTATTTATAACCAAGGATTTATTTTGTTGTCTTGTTTTTTTTTTTAAGCCCCAACATGTTGCAGGCCCAACTTAAACTAAGAGGGCTGGGAAAAGATCACTTCACACAAAAGTGTGGTTAACAGGCAAGCAAAGATAAATGACCTTCTGTCCCCCAAAGTCTGACCCCAGGCTACAGAAACTAATACAAAAGTTTGAATTTCCTTTTAATCATGGAGAGGAAGACATGGCAAGGCCTGACACCAGCCTTGGAGGCCAAGGACAACGAGCCTAAAATCAGCTCCTCACAACTGTCTTTACCTTACAACGCAGGCAGGAATGCTGTCCCAGCCTGTTACAGGAGACACCTGTTGGAGAAAAGCAGTATGACAAATTCATACTTGAAAAATTCGTACTTGGAAACTGCAGTCCTGTCATGTTTCTAAAACTTGTAAAAGTATGCAATACCATAATTGAAACATTTATTTTTAATTCCCTGACACAACTGCATTCTGGCAATGTGAATCAGTCATTTTACCCAACAGTACCATTTTAACTAGATTTTTTTAACTCTAAACCTCATTTTGACAAAAAAAATGAAATTTCAAGAGCTGAAACATTTAACTATTTCTTGAGCTTCCAAACTTTTAAAACCTGTAGTTTCAGAACCACTTTGGTGTTCATGTTTCATCTTGCTTTTCCTTTTCTCATTAAAAAGGAGGAGAGCTAGAGATGCAAGAACACTTTAAGCTTGCAAATTTCTAAACCTAGAAAAGTTGTTCACATTCTGTATTTTCTGTCACATCCTCTGGATATGCCATGTATCCTCTGGATACTTGACTGCACAAACCTTCATAAGAGAGTCTGTGTTTAAGAACTGGAGCTGGCACACAAGCTGTAAAGAGCAGAACCAGTGCACAAAATTTAACTAGTCTTGAGCTTCAAATTGTTTTTATTATTCCACTAGAGGGAGTACAGTAAAGGGAAACACTCAAGAATTGGCAGCAACACAAGGTTTGGTGAATAGTTACTCCTTGAGAAGCAGTAACATATACTTAACCAGTTTCTGTGCAAGAACTCATTCTTTTCCTCCTTGTCTAACCCCTGTGACAGCAGTTTTTGAACCTGAGATAATAAATTTCATGAGTTCTCCACGTGAGCAGGACAGATGCGGGATTTGGAGCTCTAACATGATTAGAGATAGAACTGGAAATGCTGATGCATATATATTCATCATTCTTGGAGTATCTGCACTTCGAAAAACCTCTCTCTGATAGTGATGGAAAGTAGCAATACCTTTCCCACTGCTAAAATAGATTTAATGCTACAGTTGCATGACCACATTTGAAGTTCATGTATTCTGTAAAAGTACAGGTTTTATAATCTTGTTACCTCACTGACAAAAAACTTGTCTCCACAAAGTCTGCTTTGTGCCACAAAACACCAAATGCAGTGAAAACCATAAAAAACCTCTTTCTATTCAGGGTGTGATACACATTGAGAATTGAGAGCTCCCAACAATCACTGAAAAAACATTCTTGCAGAACAGCTGTTGCTGCCTCTGTATCGCTACGCAGGAAGAAATTCTGGCAGAACACATCAAGGGAAGATAAGCAAGGCTTAAAAAATAGCTGTCTAGGAACAAAAGTAAGGGAGATGACAAGGAGATAAGAGATGTCTAAAGACACCAATTAAAACATTGAAATCACAAATATTCTGGACCAGGAGAAATCAATTAGGATAGGAAATTAGTTCAAAGGAAAACAGCATTATGATAAAGAGCACTTTGAATTTCTATAATAAGAATTGAAAATGTTATAATAGTCAAAATACATGCATACAAGATTTGGGAAGGACAAAAAATGCTTGTCTTGTGATGAACCAAATCATATTTCATGGTGGGTAGGCAAGAAATACTGCTAGAAAAATTTAGTTATTTCAAATATGCATCGCCTTGGCTTGTTTTGTTTTATTGTTGTTTTGTTTTTTTTAACTTCCCTTGGAGATTCCCTGTTTCAGCCAGAGAAGAGTAATGAGTGAGCAAAGTCAGGCATGGCTATCATGTCCTCTTACAAATACCAGTTTCAGTTTTGTCCACACAATTAATCAAAGTTCAAAAAGAATTGTTCAGCTACCTGTTCTTAACTCCAAAAGAGTGAACATATATCAGCATTTGATACATTACTGACACACACTGGTCAGTGAGGAAACGAACACTGAAATCATGCTCTGGGACTATTTTTGTCACTTCCTTCTGTGCTCTCCCTGTCTCACTGACTCAGATGATGACTGCTGAGTCACAGCCCTCCTCAGGACTTGAGCAGCTGCTAACCCTTCACCAGCACACAGGCCTTCCACAGCAACCTGGGAAAGTTTAGCCAGACTAAGACAAGTGGCATTGTTTAGGGCAGCTGTCTTCTAGGAGAAACAGGTATCTAGAACTAGCTCATCACTGGGACAGAAGATTCCTTCTCACAGCTCCTTCTGCTGGCAGAGCTTTGTGGAGTGAAAAACCAGCATCAGCAGTTCCAGTTCAAAACAGGACTGTTTTGCTGCAGTCCTGCCACTGCCCACACTTCAACTTTGGAGAAGGCTGGCTCCTGCAAGAGCAGCTTCCCATGGGAGGCCTATAGCAGGCTGCCAGGAAAACAACTGCCATGTATGCCATGGAGGAAGGCCCATGAAGGAGAAAAAAGTTCTAGTCTGGACAACTGGATACCAAAAGCCAGCCCATAAGAAACAGGCCCTTCCCTTCAGTGGTGGAAAATCTACTTGGGAAAGGTGATGGTGAGTATTCTGGATCACAGAGGAAGCAAGTAGAGAGTCTGCTTGGCTGTGGTGAAAGAGACTATGAATAACTAACTTACATTTAAATGTCTCTGCTTCCAGAACTTGGCAGCTGGCTTGATGTTCAAACTGATCATCTTCACAGAGGAAATCATGGCAAAAAGAACAGGCAAATATTCTGCCTCCTGAAAGATTTATCAAGGCAAAATAATCAACAATGGGCACAGGTATCAAGTCCTGCTCTGCAAACAATTTAGGCGGTAGTTTTGACTGAAGATCAGTTCTCCTTTCTGTCACAAATGCTTAATGTCCTAAATCAGGCACTGCCATCCATTTTTACACTGAAAATTACCTTCTATCCTACAATATAAGACAGCATAACTATAAAGCATGTATTACTTCTAGTACTTCATTTTAATTTGACTGTAGCATTAACTATTTTTCTTAAATCAGATCACAATTTCATCCAGTCTTCTCCGCTCAGCTCTGATACACACTTGAAATAAACACTTTAAAGGATTCCACAAATGGAGACCAGTAAGGTTTCCTAAGCAACTGTGAATCCAAATACCTGTACTAGTGCAGAAGAATGAAGTAAGAATGGCAGAAAACTGTGTTGGCAATTTGATGCAGTGCTTAATTATGTGAATAATTAATCTCATAGAACCATTATAATTTAGATTACATAATCATCCTTGAATTGAGCACTGTATGTTCTTGAGCAAGTAATTTACTTTCCCCACTGTATAATGACTATTTTTAAAACAGGAAGAATCCTTGCTTTGAACAAACATACTGCAAGGACTAATCAGTGAAGACTAAAAAGCATATGTGAAGAATATAGATGCACTAACTTAAGCAATGCAAGGGAAGTGTAGCATTTATTTTCTTATTTTTAAATATGAGCAACCTACCATGGTCCCAGACACTTCTTTCACACTCAACGCATTCTGCATCTGCCAGGGGGCACATACACGCATGGGTGCTGAGACATTTCCTCCCATGACACACCCAGGCTTCACAGAAATCACAGATTGCACCCTGCAATCACAGCAAGATATCATCTCAAAAGTTCTGCAATACCAATAGAAAGACTTATCCCATAATCCTCAGTGTATCACCTAGTATCCATTCTCTCAATGGGCTCACTTCGGTTGAGTGAGAATATTGAACCAAACCAATAACCTTGGTGTTCTGACCAAGCTGCTCCACAATCCATGTTTGTTTGGTATTAATTTCTGCAGGATTAAGTATGATGCAAAATAATTTGGTTATCTACCTCAATCCTGGTTTTTACATTTCTTATCACATATTTTGCACATAGAAAATTGAGTCCTCCAGTTGAAACCTGGGATCCATAAATTATAATAATGTTCAGGCAAAAATGAAATTTCAAAGACCTAAAAAATGCCTCTAGACTCTTACAGCTGAAATCACTCATTTGGATTTTAAACTCCACTATATTAGAGCACAAGCTCTCCAGAGAGCAAATGTCAAATAACTCATTAGAAATAAGTTAGACTCTAACTTTTATTTTGATTAAATTGTAAGATCTCCACTTCAGCTATCCTCAACTGTAGCATTTAAGAAGTCTTTTCAGATCATAGGTAACTAATTACTATATGCATTACATGCACACAAAGCTAAGAAAACAATTATGAATCCAAACTTAACTGTTGATGCATTCACTCTTGCATCAGTGAATGCATGGGATGAGTTTAGAAATGCCAGCATGTAAAGGCTGGTTGTGTTACAGAGAACAGCTGACAACCAGCTGCAGGCAGCAACAGGACAGAGGTTTAGTCCATTTAATCCAGAGGCTGTGACAGGTCACACCTTGCTTTCTAGAATGCAGACACTAACTTGTCCTTCTAAGAACAAAACTTCAAAGGCCTGAAGCTATGATAATCTCTAATTAAGAGCCCAAAATAGGGGGTTTGCTCACTAAAATTCCCCCCTAATGGAACAGATTCCTCTCTGTGATACTGATGATCTCTGCAGTACTAAGACAACAGCAACAAAAGTCTTCAGGCTTCTCCAGAATAATCCTACATTTTAATGAAGGCTGGGAATTGTCTATGGGGCATGTAAGGGTCCAGTGCTATTCATGCATGTGCATAGGGCCTGCCACCAACACAGATCTGTTAGCATTCAGGACATGTGCTGGAATTTGCAGGAGCTGAATCTAAAAATGAAAAATTTGGGAGTTTCAGTATAAGGGAAAAATCAGTTTGTTACAGAAAAGCAAGGAAAGAACTAAACTTAGCATTGTATATACACTATCATTCCATAAGTGTTTTATCATTTTTCTGGAAAGATTTGCACAAAATATCATCATAGTACAAAAAAGGCTGCAATTTTGTATACATACCACCATAGCTAGTCCAGTACTGTACACACCAGCATGTTTTATAACACAGTCTGAAGACTTCATCATGCATTTGGTTTTTCCTGTTTAAAATAAAAAGGCAAGCAACCATAAAAAAACTATGTAAAAATAAAATTTAAAAAACAATAGAATGCATCTTCCTTATGTAAGAACAGCACTTCAACTAAATGCCTGCGTTTAACTGTAAATCTAGGTAAAAATAATGCAAACAAAGATGTTTGCATTATTGCTGCATTTGGCAACCCACCCTCACATCTCCCTTAAGTTAAATTAATTGTTGGCTGTTTTCAGTCAACCCTCTTGCCCCTGTACTGAGATAATAAGACAATGTGTTGGTCTTGCTCTATGTTTTGAGGCACTGGCAAAAATTTCAAATGTCAAAACAAAGAACAAAACTAAGGTCAAAGTCCAGCAATGAAACTTTATGTTTATATTATGATTAAAACCACTGCTAGTTCTGTCCCACCATAAAAGCAGCTGAGCTGGGTGAGCCAGTGAGAGGTGGTGGGGGCATAACTGGGTGTGGAGTACTGGAACAGAACTATCTTGGTCCCATACCTCACTGGCTCCTCTAAGATGCTCTTGGTTTACAGTCCCCAATGCTTGATTATGCACCAAACAGCTCTAATAGTTTTTGATAGTTGTTGACAGGAATGGTTTTCCTCTAGAAGCATACTCCAGATTACTCTAGACACACAGAACTGAACCGTAAGACTGAAAGCATGTTTTCAGTACTTCACTGCATGGTGACAGAAAGGAAACTTACAAAGGGTGACACACTGCCACTGCACTCTAACAGCCTGGCTTCCAGACTTGCTCAGTATCTGCAGGTCACAACAAAGGCACTGAAAGCTGCATGTCAGCAGCTCTGAGAGTCAAACTCCAAAACAGTCAAACTGCTTATTGACAAATTGAAAATCTGCAATGTGTTGAAACAGTGGAACAACAAAATTCACTTCAGTATGAAAGGAATATCAACATCTCCTGCAAGCAAGCAGCTGTTTAAAAGCAAAGGATGTTTTAGCCTGATTCAGAGCAGTTATGTCACGAGGAGTCCTTCCCTTCTAATTTCAAAGCATCAGGCCTCAAGCCCACATGAATAACAGGAGCTGAATATTACATTACAATCCCATGCAAGGTGAATAATATATTGTTGCTTTAATTTATATTGATCAGAAGTTATACAATCCCTAAAAATACAGTACTTATTGTGCCGTGCTAGCAGTCAGAACATTTTTAATTTTGTTGCTGTTATGAAACAATGCTTCATGTAATCAACCTATGAAAACAGTCAGATTTCTCAAACCTGAAAGAATGTGAGACTAATTTTTCCAAAGAAGACAAGCAACGATCCAGGCTTGCAAACCTTTGGGGCACATATACCAATCAAAGAAGATCACTTCTTAAGGAGGATATTCACAGCTGATTCAAAAGAGCCTGCTCCACATCACAGATGTACTTAAAAAAGCTACTGTAACACAGGTACTGAGAGTTTAACACCAGGAACAGGATTGAGGACAGCTTGTTTTCATTCATTATTTCTACTCACCACATTGTGCACAAATGGGCAACTTCTGAACAGAATTACAGAAGTAACAAAAAGCTCTATTCTTCTGTCGTCTAGACACATGGAAGGGAAAAAACAAAAAGAATGTGTTAAGCTTTAAAAAAAAGCATTAAAAATTACCTGTAAAATGTCTGAAACAAATACTAATAGAAGTATTTGTACAAATACTAATTTAGAAGGGGAATAAATCTTACCTTTGGCACTTATCACATTCCTAAAGAGAAGAAATAAAACACTGGTTATTATTTTCATTCTAGGCAAAATATATAAAATTTACAGACCTCCTCAGGAAGTTAGTTAGGATCCAAACCTTTTAATCCATATTCTGTCTTGTGCAAACGTAACCTTAAATATAAAGGAATGAAAGTGGAAAGAATGACATTCTAGTGGCATTAAATGCAGTAAAGGTTTTATCACTGAGTTTACATAATTGAAAATTAGGTATTTTACTACAGAATACTTTAGGTTGATTTACCATTGAAGCATTACAAGGATGTTTGGCCAAGTCTATGTTGTCTCGTGAAGCCCTTATCTGCTTCTCACGTTCCCGACGGTTCTCGGCTTTCTTACGAGCACCAGTCTTTTTTTTAGGCATGTTTCACTATCTGTGGGGGAAAAATAGGTATGGAATGAATGCACACAAAACTATGTATGTAAATACAAGGACACACATGACACATGCAGCACTAAACCTGGATCTTACAGTTTCTGCAGTAACTGTGCTTCATCTCCATTAATTTGCTTGTGTGAAATTTCCTTTTGAAATGTAGGATAAGGGGACAATCCTCAAGGAAGAGCCATGTGACGAACCATAAAGAATCTTGTGATCTGGAAGACTTTGCTGTCCTGAACTTTGTGTTTAACTATCTTTGAAGTGCTTTGCCTTAAAAAAAAAATTTAAACCATTACTGTCTGTAAGTTTATTTGCAATGGACCTCTGGTTTTGGTTTGCCTTGCCTGTTCAATAAGCATCTGTATGGACAGTTGCAGCATCAACAGGCAGTCAATTCTAGCAGCTTCAACTTGGAAGAAAAATTAGTATCTTCATTCAAAAGGTCTTATAAACCAAAGAATCCTAACTTCCCTGAACACAGAAATATACTCTTGACCAGATACTAAAATTTGCTTTTGATAGAACACATAAATCAGTTTTCTCACCCTGTAGTATTTTGCACAATGTTTAAATCGTATTAGTGTTGTATTTTGTAGTCAAAATTGTATGGCTGTGCTGCCTGCTGGCAACTGTCATTATTCTAGAGTGTGACATTTCTGACACTGAGAGTACAATATCAGGTTCCACACTAATTTTCAAACCTTTCAAATGCTGTTTTAACAACAGAATCTAATGGTTAGTATTTAAACCTTGACTTCTTCACATCCCCTCATAATGGAAAGCACAAAATGACAAACTGTTTTCATTGAAAGCACTGCCCCAGCGCCTCCTGAGGACACAGAGTACAAGAAATTTTAGATGGCAGTTGTCAGAAAGTTGCACTGGGCCAAGTAACAACAGAACTGCAATGTCAGGTCCCTTTAGCAAAGCTGTTGACCGAATCCATGCTTTCAAACAGCATCCAATAATAACAAGAGCCTACAGATCAATATTCTTATCACTCTTTCCCTCTGAGTTTTCATTTGTTTGTTGTCTTCGTCATGGGCTCAAGTTTTTAAAGAAATTTACTGTCTTTGCAATTTTTGGACTAGAGCTTAACAATGTTGTGATTCCAGAAATTACAACAGCATAAACCCTGTCTATCTTTCAAAAGAGACTATCACCTCTTTTGAAACCCCTGTTTAGTATTCAAATGTCTCTGCAGAGTGCTCTACCTCCACTTTTGGCACACTCACTTTCAGGAAGGAAAGATACAGTAGATTCTGTGTGCAGCCCACACCCCTGAGGGATGTGTGGGACAGAAAAGTACAACTGGAGGACCTAAAATAAGAGGTCCATGCCTGATTCCTACCTCAGCCCCAGAGGGTACAATTATGCTGCCCTACAGAGCACTGGAGCTCCTGCATGGGGAACACTCTTCAGGAGGGTTGTTTCTCCATTTAAAGTTTCCTACTCAGGAGTGAAATGCTGTGCCTGGGCCACAGGAGCAGCTGCGGGAGTGAGCGTAGCTCTCCAGCTTAATCAGATCTCAGGTATCAGGAGGCTGTGTAGGAATGAGGTGAACACTTCAAAGGAAAACCCCTAAAACATGTTATGCAGGTATTGGGTCACAAGCACTGTGTTCCATTCTGTAAATGTTCAGCTCCTGCTGCATTATTTGCTAAGGCAACCATGGGCAAAGACCACAGTTTTCCCACCACAGCTCCAAAGACTCTGGTGGATTTTAACTGGGGGTTGTGCATTAATAGTGCTCGGCATCTAAATTCTGCTAAAGCCACGACTATTTGTCCTCAGTGAGGACTCAAAGACACACCCTGACTGCACCAGCAGGTTCCTGGATCTTCCGTGCTGAGCAGGACAGTGCCCTGCCTCATTATCCGGTGGTACACTGCCCACCCTGCTGTCACAGAAATGGCCAACAGCTGGAACAAGCTATTTACTGGGGGGCAGGGAACTGTGGGGCTACCCTTGTCAGGCCACAGACACCAACACCCAGAAGAGGCTTTCTGTACTTCGAGATTTCTTGTGCTTGACCATTAAACAGCTTCCACTCTAGGCGTATTCAAAATCTACTTCACCACTCATACAAAATTATAATTTAAAAAACTGCATTAACAGTACTTCATATTTAAAAGGGTCATGAACTTATCGCCCTAATAACGCAAAAATTACTTTCTAGGCTTACTCCATGTTACTCCAAATTACCATGACTTACTCCATCTTTTGGAAGCAAAGTGGCTAAAAACTGCACTGTGGACCCGCAGCACCTGGGGGCTGCGGTGCTGTAAGTGCCCAGGTGTGAGGGGCTTTCCTCAGGAGCCCCTCTGACCCATTCCCTCCTCAGCATGGGCACCTCGTCCCGCCGGGAGCCGGACGAGACCCGCCCCGCGGCCGTGGGGTGAGGCACCGACAGCAGGGCTGCTCTGAGCGTGTGCACACACACTGCCGGGCTTCAGCTTTTAGCGCTTTCTCTCATCTTCAGTATTTGGGCCCCCCAAACCGTGCCGCATCACGCTGCCAACCTGGATCGCCGTGCTCCGCGTTTCCCGGCACCTGGCCACGGGGGAGCCGGACACCGCTTCGCTTGTTCGAGCACTTAAGCAGCAAGAGCCCGGAACCGAGACCCTCAGCGCATCTAGCCCGGCCCCTTTGAGGCACCACCTTCAGCACTGCGGGCCCGCCCCTGACCCAGCCCCCGCCCCCATT